TATTCGTGCCTTAGCTACCCCATCCCACCACCCCAGTAAATCCTCTATGCCCCACCGTTCCTCACTGAGCTCAGCCCACAACGTCTCAAATCCTCCCTGCCCCTCCTCATCACTCAGAATCCTCGTGTTTAGTTTCCAATAACTCTTCCACCTCCTGGCCAGCCCATCCCACCCCAGGTCTACCACGACTGCCCTGTGATCTGAATATTCCACCTCCACCGTATGCAAGGACTCCACTCTAACCCGCTTTGTGATGTACACCCGATCTAGCCTCGCCGCATATCCTCGTCTAACGAAAGTGTGCTCCACCTCCCAAGCCCCACCCCCAAATACGTCACGTAGACACACATCTCTCAGAAGATCACCTAGGATAGTGGAAAAATTCCCTGCCCCACGCGGCTCGACGTCTGCCCTGCGAATAACACAATTCCAATCCCCTCCCACAATAGCAACAGGTGGTAAAGAATGGAAAAATAAACGAGCTCATCCCTCACAAAATCCGCTTTCAGACGTGCATCACTCTCTGCGGGTGTGTACACACACACTAACGCCACTCACTCGCCCATCCACCATCCATCCACTCTGATAATACGCCCCTCGCCTCCCCTTCACTTCTACTAACCACAAATGGGCTCGCCTCCCGGAGTAGGACTCCCACCCCTCCCTTCAAGCGTCCCGTCTGCAACACAAAAGCCCTATAACCATTCACCTCCAATACACGCCCCACCTTGATATTGTGCTCTTGCACAAATACAACATCCACTCTATGCCGGCACAAGAAACTAGCAAACCACGCACGCTTCACATCCTGGCACAAACCATTAATGTTAACTGTCATACACCTTAGGCCAGCGGTGGTTTCTTCCCCCTCTTTGACACCTTCCTCACAACGCCACCATGTCCTTTCGGACCTCCTTTATGCATGTCCCTACCGGCAGCCCTAACCCCTCCCTGGTCCATCTCCGGGTCCAAAGTCCCCGAGGGACCACCACCACCACCTTGCCAGTCCTCTGTGCTGGAGTCAGGACATCATCTGAATCCGATGTCACAGCCTCACGCTTGCGCGCGACTCCACCTGTTCCCATCCTCACCTCCTGTGACACCTCATGGTGAACCTCCACCTCCACCACATGTCTGACCTTCCCACCCTCTGGGCACAGTGCCCCATGAGACACCACCAAGTCGATGGGCCCAGTTTGCTGTCCACACAGGTCTGCAGCATTCCGCACATCAGCCCTCGTCACCAACTCGCCCTCCCCATCGGACTGGGGAAACAGTGAGGTGAGCACATTCTCCAGGACCTCGTCAATGGCTTCCTCCGCTGAACCATGCCGTCCCCCACCATCAGGCAAAATGGGTCCCACAGGGGCCGTCAGGTCTGCACCCGCCACTGCCTCTGCCTCCTCCACCTCCTCACTCCACAGACGACCAGGCCCACGTCCTTCTTGTATCTCTAGAGGCCGTCCAACTTGCCCAGGTTCCCCTGCAGCAGTACATTCAACGCCATGGAGTCGAGTCTGTTGTTCACAGTATGCAGCAATGTGATCATAACCACCACAACGCCTGCATGTCCTGCGTTGCCCAGCATAGGAAACCATGAGCTGAGTCCTGAAGGCCTCCAATATAACATATGACGGTATGGGGTGCCGTATCGTCATTTTAAGTGAAAACGTGCCCTCTGGGTATCCCACGTATGCACCTTCCACCCACTTGCCGGACTGTGCCAGGTGAACGGTCCCGTAGTCCTTAAAAACATTGCGTATGTCTGTTTCATCAGCCTCAAACGGTACATTTCACACTCTAACCCATGTATAGTGCCTGGAGACGTCATGAAGGCGGACACTCACCATAGAATTGACGTCCACTCGAACATCCTGGTATTTCTCTACCAGCCGCTCGTAGACGCCGGTGTTTAACAACTTAAACACCCTGTATGCACCATTAAGTGCTACACCATACAATTCTTCATCCTGAATACCATACGTATCCCGGATGATTAATGGCAACAGCACAGGAGCAGCTTGCGGTGAAATTGCCCCGCGAACCAGCTGGATACCCACAGTATTTACCCTCCTCCTTACACTCTGAGCCATATTGGAAAAAACAGGAAGTCTTCCAATCGCCGAGAGAGGGCAGCAGGCGTACGTCTGCTCACACCAACAGACGAACAGAGAATGCTACACGTGCACTAACACTAAACGCAAATCGCAAGGCTCCTTAATGACCCTCGTGTAGTAGATAGACTTTAAACCCCATTAACCAACCAACCAGCCTTAATGACCCTCGTGTAGTAGACAGGCTTCAAACTTTAATATTACAGGCTGGCTGTACTGGGTTTTAAAACGGTTAAGGCTGCATGTCACCTGTACACCACCAGTCAAGAATACTTTAATTGACAGTCTAGCAAGCTATCCAGTGACGTCATGGTATTCAGCGTGAGGAGGCGGGTGAATACCGTTGGTATACAGCTTGTTCGAGGGGCGATTACGCCTGAGAATGAACAAGTTTTGCTACCTAAGATTATCCGTGACACTTATGGTACTGCGGACAAGGATTTGTACGGTGTGGCATTAAATGGCGCATACCGGATATTTGTAAAACTACTCTACGAGCCAGTGTATGAGCAGCTGGTTGAGCAATTCCAAGATCTCTGCGTAGATGTGTCCCCTGACGTGCATGTGCGTATGGTGGATGTCTCTCGACAATATACATGGGTGAAACTGCGCAATGTGCCCTTCGAGGCCGATGCAACGGATCTCCGCAGTGTTTTCAGAAGATACGGAGTGATACACATGGCTAAACAAGGCATGCGGGTGGCTGGGGCGTATGTTGGTCTCCCAGACGGTTCGTTTACCCTTAAGATGTCTCTACGCCAGGCCATACCATCGTATGTGTACCTTGATGACTTCCGCACACAGGTCATGGTGTCTTATGCTGGTCAACGACGGACGTGTCACCTCTGCGGTGAATTTGATCATATGGCAGCAGAGTGTGGGCAGCGCAGGCAGGCCAGAAGGCCAGCCGGTGGCTCAACGAATGACGATGGGCAGGAGGCTCCCATACGTGGACGAAAAGGAGATGGTGGCCACGGTCGGCTTTGGAGTGAGGAGATTGAGGAGCCAGTGGTGGTGTCGAATCTGGAGCTGTCGTCTCTCGAGTCACCTGCATCGCCGGTGTACAGCAGGCTTCTGGGGAAGACCAGGTGACGGTGGAAGTGGAGGATTTAGATGCGACAATAGCGTCTGTTTTGCATACCATGTTCTCATCTACGGATGTGGTCTCCCCGGCTGTGACGACAGCCAGTCCGGAGATCGTGTCTGTGGCAGTCGAGCAGCAGCAGGAGGTGGTTGTTGGTGCTGGTGGGGCTGGCGGGGACGTGGTGACCCCTCGTCAGAAGGCAGAGACGAAGGTGGTGGTGGAGGTACATCGTGTGGACGATCCGGTCACAAACATGGAGGAGGACGCTGGGACGAGGAAGAGGGCTGCAGCAATGTCGGACTCTGACGACGTCCTGACGCCGGCTCAACGAACAGGGAAGAAAGCATCGGTAGATGGGGGGGGGGGCGGTGTGCTAGTGGAGGTGAGCAGCGACAGCAGGTGGTGCCAGGTGGCACGGGTGTCGTGCGTGGAGAGCATGGCAAACGTGGCCCCCGGGGCCCAAGTGGGCATGCAAAAGTACAAGTGGGGCAGCGCGGGAGGAAACCTTAGCCAGGTGTGAGGGGGGGGTTTAGACAGGGGCGGGAATAGTCGTGGAAGGTGTGATGAGGTCTGCTGCTTGATGGCAGCGACGGTTAATGGCGTGTGTGTCTGGGGGCACCAGATAGCGTGCTCCTTGAGAGAGGGGCATGTGCCCAGTGTTAGGAAGAAAGTGGCTTGATATGTGCTGTTCAGATGTGTCTGCAAATTGTGGAATGTGAGTAGTGTTAGGTTCTGGTTAGAGGTGTTGCTGCCTGCGCCTGTGTGCGCCTAAGGTACGCTGGTGCGGTTGAGGTGGCGTATGCTGCTGCTGTGTGTATGAATCTTGGACTATATGTTGTATGATAGTGGGTGGGGTCTGTATGGTGGAGGTTTGAGGAGCATTCTTATGTTCTATGTCAAGTATGGGTATGTATTTTATACCTATGCATACACAATGTATAAAAACACTGGTAGTGTTACTTGTGCAGTACCTGCTGTTATGAGGCCTCTTGTATGCACAAGATTACTTGATTACAAGATTACTTGTATGCACTAATTACTTGAGGATATCTGTGAAATGGGTTGTGTATATACATGTACTGTATCAATGTGTTACGATGTTGTATTCTTTTTCTTTACTGTATAATTTGTATGTTTGGTTGTGAATAGGTTTGGGTGGGACATGCAAGGGGGGGGACATGCAAGGGGGGGGTTGAGGCTTCAAACACGTTTGTGTTGGTGATAATTTTTAGGATAGGTGTCTTTCCTGTAGTGAAATACTTATGTGTGCTACATGCCTTTTATGTTGTAGCAATGTAATGTTTGTTGTGATATATATCTAAACCATGACTCTTGTTAGTACACTGTTAAGGCAGTCTTGTGGTCGTTTAATACACTTTGTGGACAAGCATGACAACTGTTATATTAATGTATATATGTCAATATGTCCGTGAGCTGTGGTAAACCAGTTTGATTTAGAATAGGGGGGTAAAAGGGGGGGGGTGTTGGAAGCCACACGGAGTTGTGTGTGGTTCATTAGGCGATGGAAGGTTATCACATCAGTTGCCGGATAGGTCTTGTATTTTATTTATTAACTGTTCTGTACTGTTTTAAATGAAATCTTGCTTAACATAGGTGCATGGGATATAATGCTTAGGGGATGAGGGACAGTTTGTGTCAGTACTAAGTTAAACGTCTGTGTGCTTTTGACAATGAAATTTATAATTCTGTGTAAGAATTGATACTGTGTTCTTTTATCTATTTAATGTATTGTATTGTTTGAAATAAAATATAAAAAAAAAAAACAGTGTATATACACTGAGACATTTAGACTACACGGCTAAGATACAAACCTCTCGCTGCATATACATTGTGTGAATATATTAATAATAATATCTTGGCTGGTTTGGTTTATATACAAGAAGGATTCATGGAATTTTTAAAATAAAGATGATTGGAATGTGTAAAATAGTTTTAGAATCTCTAAAATATGAGATTAAGGGGAACCCTTAGTGTATATACACCGATAAATTATAGTGTCTCTCACTGTATATACACAGAGATAAACACCCTTCGGTGTATATACAATGAGAGATTACATACTTCTCAGTGAACACTAAAAGAGAGAGACACACACACTTCTCATTGTAAATACGACCGTGTTAAATCGTTATGTTGAAAGGATTCACAGAAGGCTGGTAGCGACCAGTGAAGAAGTGGGCCAGGAGCTATGACTCGACCCCTGCAACCACAACTAGGTGAGTACCATGTTCATTCTCTGGAGTCTGAGTGAGCCAGGACAGGGTGTTCGACCCTGTATCGTTCCCCTAAAGCCTCGAACACCATCATCCTGGCCTCTGTTTACGTGCTCTTCTCGTGGTGTTCGCACTGAGGTGCTCTGTCAGGGAAATTTACCGACGGGAAGATAAGTGTGTTCTTCGCCAGCCAACATGGACTCTGAAGTATGTGAAATGAAATTGGTTTACAGTGAATTTGAGAAAATAGAGAGGATGGAATGAATTGAGAATTTGTTGCAGTAGTTGTAAGGATTGATATATATAATATATATACACGTATATATTCCATACTGTATAAATACCCGAGTTTACTTTTGTGCTTATTTTAGATATTAAAGAATCCTGACCTGGTGGTATACAGGCTACATGTATTCTTAATGACCCTCACGTAGTAGATAGATTTTAACTATATTAACCAACTAACCAGTTAATGACGTTGTAGGAGATAATTTTAAGCCCATTAATCCACCTCGTGTACGTATAGTGAAATCTCTTGGGTAGACAGGAACTGTATACAGTATTAACTTTGCAGTCAGAGACGGGGATAAGACAGTCTGGTTCTCACTATGGTACTAGACAGAGGTGTCTAGCACGATATTTACCATTTTTGGGTGCTTGTTTAACATATGAATTGGGGGGGGGGGCTGCTGTGGGCCTTCTGGTCCCACACTAAGCAGGTTTTTCTGACCCAACCCTTCTCAGTCGTATGTTCAACCTAACCTTGAAGCTGCGGTTGTCGATCACTATTTGGATGTTCCATTCGTCTAAAACTGAAGATTATATTTTCCTGTCCTTCCTGACCTTGAATTTATCCAACTTTAATTCTGCTTATTTTTCTTAGTTAAAAATTCTCAGCACTATATTTGCTGTGCTTCTGCCTTGTTTGCTGTGCTTCTGCCTTGTTTGCTGTGCTTCTGCCTTGTTTGCTGTGCTTCTGCCTTGTTTGCAGTGCCTCTGCCTTGTTTGCAGTGCCTCTGCCTTGTTTGCAGTGCCTCTGCCTTGTTTGCAGTGCCTCTGCCTTGTTTGCAGTGCCTTTGCCTTGTTTGTAGTGCCTCTGCCTTGTTTGTAGTGCTTCTGCCTTGTTTGTAGTGCTTCTGCCTTGTTTGTAGTGCTTCTGCCTTGTTTGTAGTGCCTCTGCCTTGTTTGCAGTGCTTCTCATAATTACACCTCCCTGACCTGGAGTGTACAAAGAACTTTCACGGCACACATAAGTACGATAAGGCACCTAAATTAATGGGAACGGTTGAAGTCCCTCGATTTGTATTCCCTGGAACGCAGGCGAAAGAGATGCATGATAATATACACTTGGAAAATCCTAGAGGGATTAGTACCAAACTTGCACACTAAAATCACTCCCTGTGAAATCAAAAATACTCGGCAGGGTATGCAACATTCCCCCAATGGAAAGCAGGGGCTCCACGAGTACACTGACAACACAATAAGTGTCCGGGGCCCAACACTGTTCAACTGCCTCCCAGCATACATAAGGGGGATTACCAATAGACCTCTGACTGTCTTCAAGAAGGCACTGGACAGGCACCTAAAGTCAGTACCTGACCAGCCGGGCTGTGCTTCGTAAGTCAGTTTGCGTGCGGCCAGCAGTAACAGCCTGGTTGATCAGACCCTGATCCACCACGAGGCCTGGTTTGAGCCGCGGGGGCATTGGCCCCCCGAAACCTTCTCCAGGTATACCCCAGGTATTGGTGAAATTGTCATATCTCCCTTCATTCTGTCCGAGTGTCACCCCTTATACAATAGTCTATATCCTCTGTAAGCATTGAAAGTATATCCATTCCCAAGTATGGAGACCAGAACTGTGAATAATCTCGCCTTTGGACTCTCGTTACTCTTAATTCCTGATATACGTAAATGCTATCAGTCTCTCAGCCTTATTTTGGATGCTTAGGCACTGCTGTCTCGGCTTCCGACTTCCGCTGACCAAAACCACGAAGTTCTCCTCGTAATTAATTTATAAATATCTGGGTTATTTTCATTCCCGAGGGTAGTTATTTTTTGACTTCCTATTGCGGGTTAGTGTCAAATAATTGGCAATGTGTCACAACGGGCGAAACGTCTGCTGATAAGTTTACCCTTCACAAATAACCCGCATTTAGGAGACTGAAACTTGTTACCACGTTTCGATCCGACTTTGCCCCATTAACAAGTCAGTGTAACTAGTTAATGTCCAAAATCGGAGCGAAACGTCACAAACTTAGTCTCCCAACTGCGGGTTATTTGTGTAGTGTTCCAGCCAGGGTATTATCTTACTGCTAACCACAATCTGTCTACTTATGACATGTATTACCTCGTAAATACTCCGTGAGTGTATCATAACACTGTAGTGTGTTATTGCTTATATCCTCCAGCATCCAATACCCCCCGTGTGAGATGCACCATCTTGTGAGATAATTCCCACAGTGTAGCATATCCAGCTGGCGATATTCCCACAGTATATCAACTTGGTGTAAAATGTTGTAATATTACTGGTTTAATATCTATAAAATTTACTTTATTAAATTAAGTCTCCCATTATTTTTATGGATGTACTTCCTTAGATAGAACTTCAGATGCTCTAGATCCAAGAAATGGGGGTTTGCCTTCCCCCTTTCTGGAGTCAAACCTGATTACCTTCCATTACCAGGGGTTTCCATGGTTTCCCCGGGTTTATTGCTTATATATGGATGCAGTTTCAGGTTGTTTTTCTTCTGGTGGTGATGTTAACTCTTGTCTCCAGGTGGTGATGGCTGGCAGGTTCAAGAAGCTGTCGAGGATCGGACGTGGAACATTTGGAGAGGCTTGGCTCGTTTCCAGCACTTGGTCTGGCAGAAAGTAAGTCACTGTGGGGTTAGAGGGGGCGAAACGTAGTCAATAAATACTCAAGAGTCTTCTGCTTTTCCATCCTGGACTCTAACACTTAGATAATGTACGAGAGTCCTTAATATGGAGTACAGACAAGTACTCAACAGATCTGTGTGGACTTCATAGTAGACTCTGCCAGGTATGTACTAATGTGCCGTATATATAAGTGTCTTTGTACCTCTCGGTAGTTCGGTAGGCAGCGCACTCGGCTCGCACATTAACGTCCGTGATTCGATCCCCTATTCAGATGCAAACCTCAGAGCATGTTTCTTGAAGACAAAATTAACCTAACTTGCAAGAAATGGTCAGCATAACCAGGGACTTTCTATATAGTATATCATTGATGTCAACTATGGTCTGTATAAGTTGTATCATGTACTTGTAGAAATATGGATGATTATTATAACGGTTTGCATCTGGTAACATGATCTACCAGCAAGACCGTATACTTAAAGCCACCACTGAATATTATCAAACTTAAGTTTTGTAACTTAGTGTCATAATCCTAACTGAGCTGGCCTTGTGCAGTGCGAGATTAACCTAAGTTCAACAACTTAGTGAAGCTATGTTGTTAATTTTAGCCTAAAATTATATCTCAATACCATTAAACCTACACGAGAACGGTTTATTAAAAACGGAGTTCGGCTGGTTTTATCTGTTTATTAAAACCCTATATTAAACCATTCACTTAAATTCTTTCATTCTCTTCGGCTATATAGATTTTTTTAATTATTTTAGTTTTGGAATCAAAAATAACGAGTATTGGTTTTTCCTAAATCTTTCGTTATTAAAGTTTTTGTTATTGTTTTTAATATTTAGTTATTTTGTTATATTGTTTTATTAAGTACAAATGTTTTGTGTGTGTGTGTGTGTGTGTGTGTGTGTGTGTGTGGTGTGTGTGTGTGTGTGTGTGTGTACTCACCTAATTTGTACTCACCTATTTGTGGTTGCAGAGGTCGAGTCACAGCTCCTGGCCCCGCCTCTTCGCTGTGTAAGGTTGTGTAAGGTTGGTGAAAGAGGAACACTACTTGTTCACCATCTTGTTCACCATCTTGTTCACCATCTTGTTAGTATTGTATAACTTCCTACTTAAGACTGGTGTAATCGTAATAGCATGATTACAAACATAACAGAACGGATAGGGTTTGAACTCGCGGCAAGCTAGTTCTACAACTTCAGACCAGTGAGTTAACCACTGTACCATGTGGCTCTTCAGGGTTCATCCGAGTATTTCTATTCGCCAGAGATAGGTTAGCATGGGCCAAATGCTAACCAGTGGTCAACACTGCCTGTGAGATTTAGAGCTCTCCTGCCACCAATAGCCTGGTTGACCAGGCTAACACCAAACGACCTTGGCCCATGGCCGGGCTCCGGGAGTAGGAAAACTCTGAACTCGTCAAAGGTATATTAAAGGTATGGGTTTGAATCCCATACGTTATGTGAATTGATCTAGTTAGTGACTGCTTGTTAATTGGGTTTACTTGCTCTCGTTAATATCGTGAATTAACGAAGATTACAGTTTCAACTAGCCAGGTTCAACGTAAGTAACGTTTGTAGAGAAACCAGAATTGTGTAAAATGTTATGAAATGGTTATAACTACCATGATTTTAAAGTGGTGGAGGGGTAAGCCAGTGGAAGGCCTCAGTCAGATGACCAGAAGCTCCAATGACGGGTCGTCATATGTCTAAGACCTGCATCAGGAAACGCTTTTCCTGTTTCCTGACGAACCTTACCTAACCTAATGTATTTTAACAAGTCTGTTAGGGGCTTAATTCTTTTATCAGAGAAAGTATGTTACATTCTGATTTTACATAGTTTGAAAAGGACCATTCTTAAGTAAGTTTATTTAGTCACAGGTACACACAAGCAAGATTATCGTACATAAATTACCCAGGATAACCCAAAAAAAGTGACTTCCATTGGACTTTTTTTTTTTTTTTTCAGTGCCTCCAAATCCTAAATAACACTGGTTGTAATGCTTGCTAGCTCTCAAACACCAAGCATTATTATAATTAAGCTCTAAACCCACGAGGGCCATGCAGCGCTGCAGGGTAGGGCATGCTAAAGGTTTATCAAACACCCCACAGAACGTAGTTTTAATAATGGTATGACGGGCAGTGTGACCTCTCTCAGGTATGTGATAAAGGAGGTGCGTGTGGAGGAGATGTCAAGTGAGGAACTGGAGAGGACGAGGACTGAAGCGACCATCCTGGCCAGATGTAAACATACCAGCATCATCCGCTACAAGGAGTACTTCATGATGGAGAACCCGGCCACCATGTGTCTGGTGATGGAGTACGCTGATGGAGGTGAGGGAGGGTCAGCCGAGCTACCTTAAGCTACTCCACTAACACTTTTACCTATTGGACGTCGTTTCGGGGGTCAACGCCCCCGCGGCCCAGTCCATAACCAGGCCTTCGGTGGCTCAGGGCCTGATCAGCCAGGCTGTTAATCGAGCACTGAGCCACCAGGAGAACTAGTCAAGGACTTGAGAAGGTAAAGTCTGTCTTGTACCTTATCTAGCAGGTACCCGTCCTGTGACTAGTGATAAAATCAAGAGCTTAGTCACCCCTCGGTAACATCTTTATGGAAAATTTTCTAGGGTGTTTACCTGTATGTACCTCAACATTATATACATACCAGTAATCTCATTGGGAGACAACCATATTGTTTACCGTAGTCACCCCGTGTAGACATGTGAGAAAACTTAACCACCTCTGGTCACTACAGGTGGCCCCTTCGACCTCACAATCTTATCCATATCTATCCGAGACCAGTATGGATTGGATAGCACCCACAAGTACGGTGCGACTAATTAATTGTGGACTGTATATATTATATTAGTTTAGCTGAATGAAGGGGGGGGGGTAGGATACACATGGATACATCCATCAAGGAAAAAACATTTGTACATAATCCCACCACTTACCAGATGTTCTCTGGTGGTCACTTGATGTAGCTGGATCACTCATAACCTATCCAATTACAACATAACCTAACTGGCCAGCATGAGTCTGTTATAACTAGAAGGGTTACTTAACTGTGGGTGATTGATACTCCTTATTTCCTCCATTCACCATCTCATTTCGATGTCCTGCTACACCGACACGGTTCTCATTCCGGCAGGACGAGGTATCCGTCGGTTTGTCCCGGTTTAGAAGTCGTGATTCCATAAATCTTCATTATCCCCGGTACGAGAGTCACACGTTCACTCGGAGCAGGGCGCTCTATTTCACATCCCGCATTCTCTTAACTCAATGTTATTATCACTGATTACATTACCATTCACAAGACGATTTAACGTCTCATAACTATTATACAAATTAGAGGTCACTCCATTAAGATCTGAGACCGATGAGTGATGATTAAACCAAGGGTAATTTTCCCCAGGACACAGTCCATAGTGATGCGCCAGTCACCCGGTCCTACCCTTATTCACTCATTTTACCACTTTATTACGGTGGTCCCGTAAATCATGTTCCCTCACTCTCCACCAGGAACAGTTACGACACTTCCTATTATGAAATGAGGCCTATATTAATCCTTAGGCCGCCGTGAATGCCAATTTCGTGGTTCCATGCTTTCCCAGCCTCCTCACCACATTCAAAAAACTCCCGCCTCCCCCATGGCCCGAGTCCACCAAACCCCCCGCACATCCGCGCATGCGCAAAGGGAACTCTTGGTTCTACTCTATTTTCAAATACATTTTTGACCCATATAGACACATTAAACACCTATTAGGCACTATAGTTTCGGAAAATTAAAATATTTTCCACAATCTTCAAGCAGTTTATAAAAATCTTTCCTAGGATTTAATTTTTAACTTTAACGCCTCATCCGATCGGCTTCAAATTTTCAATGTTAGTGAGCTGTAACTAGGGGAAGATTAGATAATTGTTGGCATGTGCAGGCGCCCTCTGGTCTATTTAAAAATACATTTTTTTTTCAGCTGTGATTTAGAGACAAATCACTGAGCTGGTGGGCCTGTTGGTTCAAACCACCACCCGTTCCGTGGTTTATTCATGTACAATACGAGAGTTTTCTTTACGTACTAAGAGGCGAGTGGTACTCTGGTTGCAGGAGACTTGTCACTGCTGGTGAAGGCGGCCAAGAAGAGGAGAGAGATGCTGCCTGAACGCTCCATCTTGAACTGGTTTGTGCAGGTCATCATCGCTGTCCAGTACCTCCACATAAACAACATCCTGCACAGAGGTATGCACTTGTAACATTCATAGATGTGTGCAAAAAAAATTCTGCGTCATACCGAGCCTAGGGAATGAGGCGATCAAATTTCAACAAAGAAAATTAAAGGTGAACCCAATTCTTTGATCAAGACTTCACAAGCATGAAGGCAATTTCTTTGCCTGTGCCTTAAGACTATAGGAACAGCGTAGTGAAGAACGTTATTCTGTGATTAAATTTAATTTTAAAAGTCAGCCTATTTATTACTATGCAAAAACGCCAGTTAAAATGGGAAACCCGAGGGATTTCATATTCTTACTCATCTTCAAAGGATACGAAGATGTGTGTAAAAAACATGAAAACTAAAAGTTTATTTGTTTTTTTTTTCCACTGGTATTTTTGCATCTATCCAGCCCACGTTTTATTTTTAATTTCTTCCATTATTACTTTTTAAAAAATACCCAAGGTCTTAAACCGTCCCCCCTAATTTGAACCCAAATTTTTTTGTTTAAGACCCCAAGTACACTGCCAAAAGTCACGAAATATACTTTAATTTTATGCGGCTTCAAAAAAATTTATTAAAATTTCCCTTGCATTAGTTTTTTAAAATTACAGACCTAAGACTCAAAAAATTTTATTCCTGACGAAAACAAATGTGGTGAAGGTTGGTGACTTGGGCATCTCCATTTTTCCTGAGAGTTTAAACGGGAAACTTAGAAACCCAAACGCTATAGGAACTCCTTACAAAACCCGTCTCCAAAGATATCCAGCGGTGAGTGTCGGGAGAAGTCCCTTTCCCAGGGTAAGGGACTCCTTTTCCCAAAGGGTATTGGAGCAAAACCCTTCCCCCACCTTAAAGGCCCAAAAACGAAAAAATTTTTTTTCCTAATTAAATTTTTAAAAGGGGAAAAATGTAATTAAAATTTTGGGTTTCCAAGTTTCAAATGAAATTTTTCAAAATTTGAAAATTTTGTAAGGGGTTTAAGGGGGTAAATGGCCAAAAATATTTTTTTAAATTTTTAAAAAAAAGGCCCCTGCATGTACAGGCGGCCGAACAATCAAAGTCAGACATGTTGGCTGTGGGCTCCCGTCTTGAAACATTTGTTTTCCCTGACGCACCCCCCCCGGCCCAAACGCTTTGATGAACTAAAAAACAACATTCTAAAGGCGGTGTCCACAAGCCTCAAACCCCCCGGGGAGTAGTGACCCAAAACCTCATAGAAAGGGCTGAAACCAAAACCCGGGTTTTTACAAAGTTTTGAAAAAACCCAAAATTTTAGGAACCCCGGGAAAATTTCCGGGAAAGCAGCGTACGGTCCCATGGGCTCCACCCCCCCGGGGAACATACCCACAATAGTCTGCTGGCTCCCAGGCCCTTTCCCTTAAACCGCTGGGTATAAAAACCTATTATGTTGAGGGAAGAAAGGGAAGCAAAAGCTGGGTCCCCGAGCTCTTTTTTGTTAGCAAAGTAATAGAAATAAGGGCCCAAATATGAGAAAGTTTTGGGTACACAAAAAACAAACCCAATAAAGCCTAGTAAGGGTTGAAAAATTACTAGGAAAACTGGGAAAAAGGGTTCAAAAACTTTTTTTCCTTTAAGGGGCCCTTGAATCTTATTATTAAAACCCAAGCGTAAATACGTAAATACCCAAGTATTTTTTTTATTAGTAGTAGTATTTAACCTTAAAAAAAAACAAAAAAAAAAAAAAAAAAAAAAAAAAAAAAGGTAACAAAAACGTTGAATCAGTTTTTGGGAAAAAAGGTAAAAAAGGGAATATGGTAAATTTAAGTTAGTACATTAACTTTAAATACCGGGGATCACTTAGGGTTAATAGGTAGACGAAATGTTAAACAAAGAAAAAATCCCACTCCCCCCCCTTGAAGTTTCCCATTAAAAAAATTAAAAAACTTGGGTTCTTAGAAATGAAAACTATTTAAAATCATAAAGTTTAAATTTAAAGCAGCACACCTGGGTTTTCCCCCACATTGTATTAAAAAACAAAAAAGTAGCCCCACATAGCTGTTGTATTTTAAAAAGAAAGCTTTTTCAAGAAACCCCTTTTAAACTGCTTCTTAGTGACAGTTTTCTTTATTTTCTGTTTAATTTTCCCTTTTTTTCCCTTTTTTCCTTTTTTAAAGGCATGTTCCTTTTTCTTCAATGGGAGTAGTAGCTCAGGGGCGAGTTTACTCAAAACATATTTTATTACGAAAAGAACAGGTACAAGGTTACAGACCATAGCTGACATCATGACATACTACTATATAGAAACCCCGCTTTTATGCGACATTTCCCGCAAATTAGCCTTTTAAAGGGGGGGGTTCCTTGGCGTGGTAAAAGGGGCCTTGGTCTGGGGAAATTACCCTTTTCGGTCTTCTTCCTAAACCCGAACCTAATTACCCCCCATTCCCCCCCCCTATCCCACCCTTTCCCCATCCCCCCCTTTTTTCCATTCCTCCTCCTCCTCCTAAACCCCTCCCTTTTCCCCCTTTCCTTTTTTTGGGCCTTTCGGGGATTTTTTCCCCACAGGCGCGCTAGTTCCTAGGTAGGGAAAGGACCCCCGGGGTCCCCACCCCCAATTCCGTTGAGGTTTTTTGGGCTTTGGCGGTTTCCCGTGGAATCCGGGAATTGCCTAGGGATGCCCGACCCCCTCCCGGTATCCCGGGGGTGGTTTTGGGTTTTTTTTTTTTTTGGGGCACGGGTGTATTCGGGAAGCCCCTTTTTCAAAACCCGGGGGTTTTGGGGGGCTAAGGGGGAAATGCTTTGTGGGGGATACCCGGGCCGGGCCCCCCTCTTTTTTTCCACCGGGGAAGCTCGGCAATGTGGGGTTGTTTATCCCAGATTGCGGGTTTTTACTGGCATGAAGGGTAGGGAAAGGCAGGGGTTTTTCCATGCTGCATCTGCCTACTAGGGGTTGTCGAGCCCTTTTTTTGGGCGCGGAGGGGTTTTCCCGGGCCCCTTTTTCATTCCCCGGGGGAACTATTCCCCCCCCCCCCCCCCTTTTTTTTTATTTTTTTTTTTATTTTTTTTTTCCCTTTTCTTTTTTTCCTTTTTTTTTTTTTAAAAAAAAAAAAAGCAAAGGAGAAAACCTAACCAGGGCACCCTATTCCAGAAACCACTCCCCCCCGGGCCCCCTTCTTGAAAACGCCCCCATTCTGACCCTCCCCTTGGGGGGGTTTAAACCACTTTTCCCCGGACACCCTAAATGCCCCGTACCTTTTTCCCGGGTGCTGTTTTTTTCCTCACCCCTTAAAGGTACCGGGGCTTGGGACTGACTCCTTCAAATTTGTCTGAAAAAACTCCGCTCCCTTTGACTATCCCTTCGGCTTCCCCCCTTAAAAGGGTTAGGGGAAAATTTTTCCAATCGCCCCCCCCATTTCCTGCCGGCCCAAACTCCGGTCCTACCCCCTAAACCCCAAACCCGCCCAATCTCCTGTTTATGCTCCGTCGTTACTTCCCATTCAAAACTCGGAAACGCCCCAAACACGTCAAGCACTCCCCCCCCCAGGGCTCATTTCGGACCACAAAAAGGAAAAAAAATTTTCTTTTTTTTAAAAAACCAATTTCTTCTTTTTCCTACCTTTCGCCCCATGTATTCCCAAAGCCTCCTGCGTCATGTTGGCAGAGATATTTCTTTTCCCACGTCTCAAGAGCGGAAAAAAAACGAAATCGTCACTGTCCAGAATGCTACCCAACCCTCATGATCTTTCTCCCCTTTTCAAAAAACAAATACTACCCCTATCACTATTGAAAAACCTTTTTTTTCCCCAATTCTTGTATTGGTATTTGTCATTCGGGCCCCATACCATAGTCCAACAGAATTTCCATAAATGGGCAATAAATTTTTTTGAACCCCGGGGAACCCCCCGGGATCTCCCAATCCTCAAAGTAGCACTTATGCCCTTTCTCCCGGGGGCGGAGCCCTTACCCTTGCAATGTGGCTCTTTTAACTTTGCCCAGCCAGAACTCCCGTCCCTGTAAGTCGGGGGACATGGGTTTACAAGTTCAAAAGGGATACCTACACCGCAACAAGGGAAAATTGCTGGCGTTTTGGTCACCCAGCGAAATATTGCAGATCAAAGGGGGCCGAATGCCCATTCCTGTGGGCCGACCCATTCTAATACATCTTCAGTCAACCTCCATCTTCCCTTTAAATTGTAATGAAGCCACCCTTTGAAACTCCCGCCGTTGCCGGGTCAAACTTAAATAAAGGGGAAAATCCTTTTTGCCTAAAGGGGCCCAAAAAGGCTCCTTATCTATGGGCATTTACTCTTTCCCCTCCGCCTCCAAGGAGACTACCCCGGGGTTCCCAAATTCTCGTTTTTCCCAAAACGTCCCCCCCATTCCCTGGGCCCCAACTCTGCAGCCCCCCTCTGTTGTTACCCCCCCATAGCCACTACAGCATCTAATCCTTTTGCGTTTTTTGGCTCTGACGCCCCGACTACAACCCCAGCCCGTTCTCACATCTTCGCGCCCTTTCCTCACAACCCCCCAGAAATCGCCCAAGGGCCCTTTCGTACGACACCTAATACCAATCGCCCCAAAAACTCAAAAGCCCAAAAAAATCCACATTGCTCAAATTTTCTTTCCCCCTTTCCCTTTTCCCTTTCTTTCCCCCCACACTTTACCTTTCCAGCCGTACCTAGTTTTTCCCCCTCTCTCGGGCTCTTTTAAACAAGTGGGGGAGATTAAAACCCCCTCCCGTACAAAACCTTCCCCCCCGTCCCCCCCCAAGTTTTCCCCTCTTCTGTCACCCCCCAAAGGTTTCTCCCCTTTTCTTTTCCCCCCCCCCCACTTCTCCCAGCCCCCCCTTACATTTTTTCCCCCCCCCCTCTACTTTGGTACAGTCCATTACTGTCCCAATTTTTACTCACCCCCCCTCCTATCCCCCAATATGGTTTCCCATACATCTTTGAATTCAGAAACACTTGAAGCCTTTTCAAATATTTTGCAAGACTAAACCTTCAAAGGACCCCGATTCACTTTTCCCGTTCCTTCTCTTCCCCCCCTCCTCCATCTTCACAACCCCATTCTTCGCAAAGCTCCCCTTCCTTTTGCTACTTTAACATCTTCCAATGCCACCCACACGTTGACTTTTTTTAACCCCTCTAGTCCGTAGGGGCCTTTTAAACCCACAATTCCCCGATATTTTTTCATCGCCCAATTTAGGCCCCATTTACAGTGGGAAAAACCGCGGCCTCAGGGGAAACGGGGGGAGCTTTAAAGTTGCTTTCCCGGGTTTTCCCCCGTTGGGGCTTTCTTACAAGAACCAAAAATTTCACTCGGGGGCCCGTTTTTTAAACCCATTTTCAGGCTATAATTTAATTTTATTCTTCGGATCCTTTCCCTTTTAATGGGACCTTTTTTAAAGGCCCTTCTTCTAAAAAGCAATGGGTATTCCGAAAATTCAACTATTTGTCCATACCTCGCTGGGATTAAAACTGCACCCGTATCCACTTTAAAAAGTGGGTTTTCAAATGTTCTTTATATCTCTTTTCCTTCTCGAGCATTTTTTAACCCAGACTTTGCCTTTCTTGTTTCATCCTTAAACCCCCACCACTTCTGTTACTTTGGGGATTTTAAAAGCCCACCATTTTTCCCCTGGGGGGGGGCTTTATTGTGACTCACGTGGCATTTATTGGGGGCTTTTTTTGCCCCTTCAACCCCCCCCAGTTTTTTAAAAAAAGGGTTAAATCCCACCCATTTTTCCCCGTTTTCATACTCCCCCTTTCAAACGACCCCCCCCCATCAGTCTGCCTTCCCTCCACTGCAAATAGACTTCCCCCTGTCCCGTTCTACCAGACTTACATGACAGCGATCAATTTTCCCCATCTTTTTACTTCTCCTTCCAAATTTACCACCTTCCCTACCCCCGCTGGGAATTTGATCGGGCAAATTGGGGTCTTTACCCCACAAACCCCACTGCTTTTTGTGGGTTCCTTCTTCCTCCTCCATTGAAAGACTCCACACATCTTTTTTCGACATCAGTTTTATCCGCAGCTTCCATTCTAACCCCAAACCTCAGGCAAAGGGATTCTCAGAAGTGCGTTCCTTGTGGGTTTCCCGCTTGTGCTCGTGCAAATACGTTTTGGGAAAAGTGCGCATGGGGGAGGAACCGGCCCAAAAGAACCGCTGAGAGACTTTTTTTTTTTTAAGGGAGAAGCGTGCGATCGCTCGCCGTGTTCCCCGGAAAACAAACCACTTTTTGGGGAGAAATGTTTTTAAACCCTCACCTCTGCTTTTTCTATGATTTCATTTTGGAAAAAAATTTAGGAAATTAGTGGAAAAAACCCCTCCGACCCGGGTCCGTTTTTACGGGGCACGGTGTTGATATAGCAAACCCTCTCGACGTTGCCCTTAACTTTTGGGACACATCTGGTCGTTTTTTCCCCCAGGGCTCCATCTATTCCCCTCGTTTTTTTTCCTCAAAGGGCCCGCCAAGAGTTAAATACCCTTGGGCTTTTCCTTTTCCTCGGGGGAAGAACAAATATAAAGTGCCTTTTAAAAACTTTAAGGAAATGGGGGCAAAAGCCCCCACTTGCCGATCATCGGGAGCTGGGCCCCCTGACATTCATAAAATTTGTTGGGTTTCAACATTTACATCGTCAGCCCTTGTAGTCCCCTAAAACCTCTTCAATCTTTTTTTGGGCACAAGGAGTTTTTTCCCCCCTTGGAAATCTGCCATTGTTCTCCCTTTCCCCCTTTTTCAAACCGGGGACTACAAAGGGCATGAAACCCCCACATCCCCCATCGCTCTTACCGGCGTTTTCAAAGTGATGGGAAAGGGGCCCCGTAAAAAAAACGTTTTAAAGGGATTTAGAGACTCACAACAAATTTTCCCCCCACTAGTCAAAATGGCTTCCCTAAGGGGCTTTTTAAAACCATAACCCCTTTCTACGCTGGTACTTTTTTCGAATGCCCTTTGGGGAATAATCACCACCCGGGTTTTTGCCATAATTTTTTTACCTTGGGAAAGGCCCAAAAGACACAATTTTGGGGGTAAAATATTTTGGCCCAAAAGGGGCCCCTTTCCCTTTCCCCCCGAGGCAAACCCACCCCTCCTTCCCTAAAAACTTTTAACTGACAGACATTTCCGGGGGTTTGAGCAAAAATGTTCTTTCCCCGGCTTTTGTCCCAAACTGAAGGGGTCCCCCCAGGGGTGTGTTTTAAGCACAACACTTTTTCTCCTTTCTATAAATGAAATTTGGGCCCCTGTTCTTCCCCCCCAATATTTGGTCATCACTCTAAAGTTTATGACTTCGCTATTGCTTTTTCAGGCGCTGCTGTCACCTTATTGCAGTTTCTCTCCCGCATGCGGGCGAAAGGGGGTTTCCACTTTTGGGCCCCCCACTTTGGTTTTTTTAAAATTTTTAAGTACCCAAAAATCCCCCCAAAATTTCTTTTACTAAACCTCGTATCCCCGATCATCCTTTGTATCTCTATGGCCCCGGGGAAAACCCCGAACTTTATACAGTCAGGTTTTTTTAGGCCCTCTTTGGGGCCGGCGGGGGTTTAAAACCGGAAAAACCCCACTTCCCCCTCTGGAAGGCCCAAATTGTCACAGCCGGCAAAAAAACCCTTTTTAAAACCCTTTCTCATCTTTCCCCGGGGGGCTATCGTCGAAAATCTGCCTTTGCCTACATTTTAGCCCTCGTTTTAAAAAGAAACCCCATTAGGGGACCAAAATTTTTTTCCGCGGGCCCCTTTTCCCGCAAATCTCTCTAGCCTTTAAAAATCTAAAATCCATCACCAAGGCTTTTCGTTTTGTCCTTTGGTGCTTTTTGCTCTTTCCCCTTTGGGGGTTTTTGGGGCCTCTATACAAGAAAACCAATTGTTCCAAACCTTGTCTGATCGCCCAGCCCATTTTCCTTCGTTAAATATGACGCCCCTCAAAAGATCTACACAATCCTTTTCCCTTTATCAAAAGGTCCCCCCGGGAAAATTTGTAAAACTTTTTTTTTCGTTCGCCCCCCCCCTGTTTTTCTCCGTCCCTTTTCTCTTCGCCCCACATTCCCCTCTTTCCCTTTCCCCTTTAGTTACCCCCCTTTATATTTCATGTAAACATCTCACTTTTCCCTGCCCCCCTGGGGAATTCCAGCTGTTTTGGGGGCTGTTCCTTTTTTCACTTTCCCCTTTCCGAAAGCTTTAACTGCCACGGGGGCTTCCCCCCTCTCCTTTTTTTTGAACACTTCCCCCTCCCATTCTCATCCAAACCCCTGTGAACACAGATGGCTCTAAGTCTTCAGACGGCTCGGATTCGCACAGTATTTCCGGGCAAACGTCTACGGGGGGATTTTAAATATCTTCAGCTACATTTTTAAATGCGGGAACTGTAAACCATTCTTGCAGGCACTTTTTTCCCTATTGCATCTATCCGTGTCAAACATTTGTAAATAGTCCAAGACTCCCTTAAAGGGCCCAACCCCCGGGTTTTAAAGAAAATTTGATACATCTTTATCCCCCAGGTTCTCCGGATCCAACTTTTGGCTACCGTAACTCTACCAAACATTTAAAAATTATTTTTTTTTTGGGTTTGGGGGCCCCGGGGATTTTCGACGTTCAGGGCAATGAACAAAGGCAGACACTGCTTGCGCGGTCACAGTAAAGAAAAACCCAAACCCCCCAATTTCCTAAAACGAGTGTTCCATTTCTGGGGGCCCAAGCTGCAATACTACCCACCTTCGGGGGAGGGGGGGGGGGTTTTGGGAACAACGGGGGTCAACCCCTGCTCGGGGGGAAAAAACCTTTTTGGTTTTAAACCGGGGGCAAAGGTTACTGGGCCCTCTTCTTTTCATCAGGCCGAATTGGAAACCCCCTCTCCCCCCCACCCCCTTGGGCCCCACTCCTTACTCATGGGGATCTCAAGGAGAGGCACCCTGTTCCTCCTGTTTACAGTGTCAAAATTTCCCGTATCGATTACCACATTCTTTAACTTTCCCTCTCTATCAACGAGCACGCGAATTTACCCCAAAGTCGTCTTCGTTCACTACTCTTCTTTTCTTTTCCCCCCCTTTCCTGAAGGGCCCTCCTTTAATCCGACTCTCTCATTGACTTCTTGACAAAAGACCCCCATTTTCCCAAAAAAACTCCCGATGAACTTTCCCCCACTCCCCCCCAGCCTTTCTGTTTTAGTCCCTTGCTGCCCCTTTTCCCTTTTCACCCCCCACTCCCCGCTGTTAAACCGTAACCTGTTGCTTTATCCATCTCCCTTTTGCCACCTGATGCCCTCACTTCCCCTTCCCCGCCCTGGGAGCGCGTATAGTCCCTTTGGCTTTCGCTTCTTTTTGATTATAAAATAATAATAATCCCGAAATTTTGGTTTTTTTTTGTCCCAGGAAAGCGACCCACACCAGTCAACTAACACCCAGGTTTCCTATTTTACGATTGAAGAAGGGAAACGAACCCGGGCACTCCCGCTTTAAAATGGGGGCTTTAACCCCTGAAATCGAGCCTCTAGTACGGTCGGGTGAGAAAAACCCCACAGGTTTTTACCGCTTTACGATAATCTTTCCCCTGCAGTCTTTTTGGATTTGACACTTGTTCACAAGCAAAAATTTTTTTTTTCCCTGCTGCCCGCACTGTTGGGGCACTACTGCTGTTGGTGGCGTTCTGCTACCACACTGCTGTTTTCTAAAGGTTTTGGGGGCTGCTGTGTGGGGCAGGAAATCGTCTTTCCCTGCAGGGGGTCCGAAATTTTGCTTAGGAAAGAAGCCCAAACGACGCCCCCTCACGCCCCCCTCCTCCTCCTGCCCGCCCCCCAGCCTTATGTTTAGATTTATCTCAAAAAGGTAGGACTCCCCCCGCACTAGTTAGGACTCCCCAAACACACAATGTTCCCGGATTTGGGGGACAGAAAAAGGGGGCACAATTGGAAGCCCGAAGACTCGGTGAGTCCCAAAAGGGTGTTAAAAAAGGGATTCTTCAGCCACAGAGTTGTTAAGGGGGTGGAAAAAGTCTGGGAAGCCCATTTTAGTGGAGGCAGGAACCACAAAGTTTTAAGACGAGGTATGATAAAGCTCATGGAGCAGGGAGAGGAGGACCCGGTAGCGGGCAGTGAAGAGGCGGGCCAGAGCCGAGTCTCTACCCCTGCAACCACAATTAGGCGAGTATACACTAGTTAGACTGCACTCGCTCTCACTCACTCACTCACTCACTCACTCACATCACTCACTCACTCACTCACTCTCACTCTCTCAGGAAGTATTTCTTCAGTCATAGAGTAGTCAGGCCGTGGAATAGCCTAGAAAGCGACGTAGTGGAGGCGGGAACCATACATAGTTTTAAGGCGAGGTATGATAAAGCTCATGAGGCAGGAAAGAGAGAGGACCTAGTAGCAATCAGCGAAGAGGCGGGGCCAGGAGCTATGACTCGACCCCTGCAACCACAAATAGGCGAGTACACTGCAGTTAGGACTCTATTTTTCGTATTTGGTACATTGTATACACCCAGTTAAATGTGTACTGTATTAATAAAATTAAGCAATAAACCGGAAGTATCGTACAGTCCCGAACTGTGTAGACTGACTGGCGATTCTTCTCCCGGCAGCACGAGGGTATAATAGCCCCTCGCAGCAGGCAACACTCGGAAACACGGCTCAAGAACACAAGGACGCAGTCAAGAGGGACGGCGTGGCTCTTGATGTTCCCAGGATCAATGCTCTGAAGAGGAGGAGGTAAGGATGAACGATTTTCGGGAAGCGTGGAGCTCGTAGATGGTTTAGATTAGCAGGAAATAGGAAGTGTTTCCTGACGCGGGTCTTAGGTCATATGATGACCCACAGCTGGAGTGTGAAAATTTGTCTAGACTGCCTCCATGCGAGTTGCATACCCTAGCCAGCTCTTTTGACACCGAGCTCTGAGGTCGGCACTTCATCCTCACAAGTGGCTTATAGGACAGATTTCCACAAATGTTGCAAGACAATCTCGCCTACATGCACGAATAAATGGCTAATTTGGTGTTAGAGAATCTATTCCGATCTTCAACCTCCATAAGCTTTAGCCCCTCTGGACTTCCCCTCAGAACCACGTGCAACCGGGAGCCTTCATTCCTGCAATATTCAGTCAATATTAGTGACCTACCTGCACCTCAGAAATTCCTGTTTCCAAGGGGTGTGTATCCCCTAGTATAACTATGCAGAAATGGACACTAGCTTCTAACCCTGACGGAGTGACGCCGGTACATACTGGTCTTGGGCCGCATGTTCTGCACAAAGGCCCACAGCTCAACTCTCAATTTCCCCCCCAGAAACTGGCCAGAATACTGAAGAGAAAGGGAGGTCTCGTCTTACTGTATGGGCCTGACGGAGGTGGTCATCGTTACGTCAAGGTGCCTCCACCAAATTTCCCCAGGTCTAGTATGTGAAGACACATGGGGGCGCCGCCTGCTGATCAAGGCACTTGTTGCTCCGACAGTGTCTGGTCTTAGAAAAAAAGGCACTGCGGTCTCAAACCCGTGCCCCAATATTCAAACTTGGGCTGCCAGTTCTCCCTGGCTAATGTAACCTAGGGTATGCCTACATTATTGGTCTATTACTACCTACGTTAAAGTCTTAGGTCTACATTATTATCTACAGTTGCCTCAATAATCCTAATATTAGTGTACTAACAGTATAAACTACCTACTTCTTCCTAGAAGGGTAAATCTATCAATTAAGATGCACCTTCCAACCACCTTTGCCAAACCGGGTGTGTTTTTTGGGTGGGTGTAAGAGCCACCCAACCCAGCCGTTCCATCCGCGACCTGATGGGATCTTTGTAAGACGTATCTGCCCTGTGGAACTTTAGGACAGAATAAATTTCCACATGGAGCTTCCTCTGGTTTACCTGTCCACTCCAAAAATTATGGAATAGGATTCCTGGTATAATCTGTCATTATTCGTAGGGACTCCTACAACGCCTGGGAAATGAGGTGTTAGCCAGTTTGGGTCAGTGTAATTATACGTCCTGAGGCTTTCTCCAGCATCAAGGGGTCTCAGCCCCCCCTTCAAGGTTAAAATAGTAGGAAGGGAGGAACTTGCACATATTGAACTATTACTTTTCTCAGATTTCATATGCACATTTATCAAAATGTAATTTTCTTTCCTACCTCGAGGTGTGGATCACGTGAGGGTGGAGGCAGTGTTGACTTGTGCCATCTCTATTCCCGCAAGGTGAGTATTGATCTCCGCTCCAGTTTGTTACACGTAAGATGTATACATAAACCCCAGAGAATTGTACTTAATGTTGTAAAATTAGTTACATTAGAAGTCCTATCTGACTGCATCGCCTTATCGGTAAAGCACACATTTAATAGCGCATTTAATTTCTAACTGAAAGGTTTTTATCGGCAGGAACGATGTTATCAGTAGCTTCAGCTAACAACGTGAATTTAAACATACCATCCATAACCATCAATACATTGGAAGCTTCTGTGATAATTTGAACTTAGGCTATTACTATTTTATCATTCAATAGAATGTTAACTCTAACTTCAAGAATACAGTGCAACGTTATTTAGGTACAGATACATACTAGTACAATTATCATATATTGGGATGTACTTGGTTCAAGCATAGGTGAAATTTTTCATAAATTAAAGCATATTATTACTGGTGTATCTCTGGGTGACCTTAACCCTGTTTTGTGTGATGTTACAGGAAGCTGCCAAGAGTGAAGTTGATGATGCCTCTGGTGAGAAATTTGTGAAACCTCGCTGTGTCTCTGACTCTGCTGTGAGATCTCGCTGCGTCTCTGACTCTGCTGTGGGACTGGAACCCAACAGTCACTTTGCGTCTCCAAAGATAACTAGCGAGTCCAAACTTGGCATTCAGGATGACATCGTTTTCGTCACCCCGAAGATCTTACTCAGAAATAAAGTTAAGAAAAGAGTAGATACGCCTATTCCCAAACCAGATGGAAGGAACTACTATCCGTCCTGCCAGCAGCTTGGGTCACCAGAACACAACCAAATCAACCACCACCAAAAGGAACACAACCCACAGGAGCAAAAGGATCAACCACAACAGGAGCATCAGCAACTGTTTTCAGATATTTGGGCGGAAAACAAACTGGAATCTCCTCTCTGTGACTGGCAAGACAGCCCAACACCAGCACTACAGGAGGACCCTGGTGTGTACAGTAGTGCTGGCGAGACACACACCAACAGTAAGACTCACTCTGGCGTTGGCTTCGGTGCAACGTATGTTGTGAGACGCCATTGTGACGGTCAACCCAGCCAGTGAAGGGGGACTGCACCGTCCAACTGCTAAACTGAGCTTATGTTCAGTCTCAAGTTTACCAGGAATGAGAATGAAAGCATCAAACATTTTATATATATATTTTTTAAAAACAATGTTTATGAAAACTTTTAAATATAAAACCTTGATTTTAGTGTTTGTAAATTTTGATAATTTAATTCTCGTAGCATAATGTCGGATGTGTTAAGTCTTTCTAATTATTTTAATAAATACTTTATGTAATCAGACTGCCTCCATAACATTAACACGTTGTATAACCCCTGCGAGTTTAGAGCTTCCCGTGAATGTATTGGGAACCTTGATCAAAGTAGTTTAATATACAAGGAAATTCAAAGCCAGTAGTGCTCTTAATCCAAGGAATCTGGGCTCTCTTTTGATCGAGCCTGGCTACATTCATTTCCCCAGGTGCTGTATGACTCTTAAGGGTTTTAGCACTTCGTTATAGTAATGCATGATTGATGGGTGGCCTGGTAGGCGACGCTCTCGCCTCGCACAGTGTCTGGTTCGATCCCCGGCACGGGTGGAAACACTGGGCTAGTTTCTTTACACTTAGTGTCTATGTTCACCTAGCAGTAAGTAGGTACCTGAGTGGTAGTCGACTGGTGTGGGTGGCATCCTGGGGGACAAGATTGAAGGACCACAATGGAAATGAGTCCTCGATGATGCACTTTCTTGGGTTATCCTGGGTGGCTAACCCTCCCCTGGGTTATCCTGGCTGGCTAACCCTTCCTATCCTGGGTTATCCTGGGTGGCTAACCCTCCCCTGGGTTATCCTGGCTGGCTAACCCTTCCTATCCTGGGTTATCCTGGCTGGCTAACCCTCCCTATCCTGGGTTATCCTGGCTGGCTAACCCTCCCTATCCTGGGTTATCCTGGCTGGCTAACCCTCCCTATCCTGGGTTTATCCTGGCTGGCTAACCCTCCCTATCCTGGGTATCCTGCTGGCTAACCCTCCGGGTCAAAAATTCTAAAAATTTTACTTTGAACATTTCTTTGTTTCTGGTATACCTGGAGAGGTTTCCGGAGGTCAACACCCCCGCGGCCCGGTCTGTGACCAGGCCTCATGGTAGATCAAAGCCTGATCAACCAGCCTGTTTACTGCTGGCTCCACATAAACCGACGTATGAACCACAGCCCCGCTGGTCAGGTGCTGACTTTAGGTATCTGTCCAGCTCAATATAGAAAGACAGCCAGAGATCTATTTGATATCCCCCTTGTTGTGAGAGAGAGAGTTGAACAGTCTTGGTCCCCTGACACTGTGCTGTCTCAGTGTGCTCGTGGCACCCCAGTTTTTCAATGGGGGATGTGCATTCTCCTGCCCAGTATATTGCTTTCGTAGGAGTGATTTTCGTGTGCAAATTTGGGACTAGTTCCTCTAGGATTTTTCCAAATGTATATTGTCATCCATCTTTCTCGTCTGCGTTCCCCCTGAAGGGAGGTTCCTTGATGTTGGTGAGGGCTCTTGATTTAGGGAATTGGATCTGTGCTCCAGTTCCCCGAATTAAGCCTGAATGCCTTCCACATCCCCCCCAGGCGCTGTATAATCCTCCGGGTTTAGCGCTTCCCCCCTTGATTAATAATAATCCCCCCTGAAGGGAGGTTCCTTGACGCTGGTGAGGGCTCTTGATCTAGGAAAACGGATCTGTGCTCCAGTTTCCTGAATTGAACCTAAATACCTTCCTTCTCCCCCCACATGCGCCGTATAATCTTACGGGTTTAGCGCTCCCTGGAGTTACCTGGACCTGGAGTTTACCTGGATAGAGTTTCCGGGGTCAACGCCCCCGCGGCCCGGTCTGTGACCAGGCCTCCTGGTGGATCAGAGCCTGATCAACCAGGCTGTTGCTGCTGGCTGCACGCAAACCAACGTAACGAGCCACAGCCCGGCTGGTTAGGAACCGACTTTAGGTGCTGTCCAGTGCCAGCTTGAAGACTGCCAGGGGTCTGTTGGTAATCCCCCTTATGTATGCTGGGAGGCAGTTGAACAGTCTCGGGCCCCTGACACTTATTGTATGGCTCTTAACGTGCTAGTGACACCCCTGCTTTTTCATTGGGGGATGGTGCATCGTCTGCCAAGTCTCTTTGCTTTCATAGTGAGTGATTTTCGTGTGCAAGTTCGGTACTAGTCCCTCTAGGATTTTCCCCCACGATTATAAAAATAATTGCGTTCCAAGTCGTACCTGGAGGTTATTCCGGATCAACGCCCCCGCGGGCCCGGTCCATGACCAGGCCTCCCGATGGATCAGGGCCTGATCAACTAGGCTGTTACTGCTGGCCGTTACTGCCGTACAGTTCAAGGTGCTGCAACCGTTCCCAGTAATTTAAGTGATTTATTGTACTTATATGTCCCGTGAAAGTTCTCTGTACATTCTCTAGGTCTGCAATTTTCCCTGCCTTGAAAGGGTAGTTATTGTACAGCAATATTCTAGCCTAGCGCACTCGTTCACACACAGTTCCGGAGATCGAATCCCCGGTACGGCTGGGAACATTAGGACATATTTCCTTAAGACACCTGCTGTCCATCTTCACCTAACAGCATAAAATAGGTACCTGGGTATTAGTCGACTGGTGTGGGTCGCATCCTGGGACAAAAGTGACCTAATTTGTCGGAAATGCTCTGCGTAACAAGTGGTTTTCTGTATTGTATGTCAGTGATGTCAACTATGGTCCTGTATACCTTGTACATGTAGACAAAAGTCACTGAGTTTTCTTTGTTATCCCAGGTTGTCTACACATATGCTGCTATGTATGATAATCTATGTAACTGTATTTGTGTATACCTGAATAAACTTCACCTACCTAACCTACCTACCCACGTCGAGGGAGGTTCCTTGACGTTGGTGAGAGGATTTTGATCTAGGAAATTGGATCTGTGCTCCAGTTCCCTGAATTAAGCCTGAATACCTTCCACATCCCCCCACACACACAGGCGCTACATAATCCTACTGGTTTAGCGCTCCCCTTGATTATAATAACCTACCCAATGGAAATAAGTCACTCTGACCCCCAGGTACTTTACACATATGCTGCCCCTCAAGGAAGGTTCCTTGATGTTGGTGAGGGGTTCTTGATTTAGGGAATTGGATCTGTGCTCCAGTTCCCCGAATTAAGCCTGAATGCCTTCCACATCCCCCCCCAGGCGCTGTATAATCCTCCGGGTTTAGCGCTTCCCCCTTAATTATAATAATAATAATAATAATTTGTGTATATCAAAATAAACTTGCCTACCTACCTACATAGGTAGAAAGGGAGGAGAATGATTTTCTATTTTATAGCTAACATACGTGTAAATTTTACCTTATTCCTAGTAATGACCCTCGTGTAAGATAAGATTTCGTTCGGATTTTTAACCCCGGAGGGTTAGCCACCCAGGATAACCCAAGAAAGTCAGTGCGTCATCGAGGACTGTCTAACTTATTTCCATTGGGGTCCTTAATCTTGTCCCCCAGGATGCGACCCACACCAGTCGACTAACACCCAGGTACCTATTTGCTGCTAGGTGAACAGGACAACAGGTGTAAGGAAACGTGTCGGATTGTTTCCACCCGCCGGGAATCGAACCCGGGCCCTCCGTGTGTGAAGCGGGAGCTTTAGCCACCAGGCCCTCGTGTAGTAGATAGTCTTTTTAGTATGATAATAAGATGTTATCTTCATTATAGAATAATAAGAAAATATTATAACCTTTGTATTATAATAAGGTAAAAGGACCACAATGGAAATAAGTCACTCTGTCTGACTTTTTTGGGTTATCCCAGGTTCTCTACACATATGCTGCTATGTATGATAATTCTATGTAACTGTATTTGTGTATACCTGAATAAACTTACTAAATATACCCCTCAGGGAAGGTTCATTGATGTTGGTAAGGGGCTCTTGATTTAGGGAATTGGATCTGTACTCCAGTTCCCAGAATTAAGCCTGAATGCCTTCCACATCCCCCCAGGCGCTGTATAATCCTACGGGTTTAGCGCTTCCCCTTTATAATAATAATAATAATAATAATAATAATTAAATATTATTTGACTTTCGAGTGTGACCACTGAGCTACGGGTTGACGGCGCGGCGCGTGCGCAGTGAGTGTTGGTGTTGCGCATGCGCAGTGTGAGAGCACCCATGTGTGAGGTGGAGGTGGGTGCTGCCTCCCTCTCCCAGCCCTCACAACCTGCTTCTCCCCGCTCAGGGTTAAAGGTGGTCTTATATCGCCGAGTTGCAGGAACATCCGACCTTCATCAGCCTCCATCATGAGCTCCAACGATGAGCTGGCGTGTGTGTATGCTGCACTCATCCTCCTGGACGATGATCTCACCGTCACGGTGAGATATTGATAAATATGTGGAGGCCGCCACATTGTTTATGTTGTGGTCTGGCAGCCACGTTGGCCATGAATTATCATTTATTTAAAAGTAATGAAATATTTATATTTAACCCCATCATAAACTTCGATAAAATACTAATTTGTTTTGGTTTTAGCATTTTTTGTATTAAGATGTTTATAAATGTTTATAGAAAAAAATATGAATTCAAAGATTTTTAAATGTGGAAAAAAATATTTGTTGTACAACAAGTTTTAAAACTATATAATTTAGTGCGTCTCATAAATTCACAACTGTGACTCATACGAGTTTATAGCTTTAAATAAAAGTTCCGGTACTTTGCGAAGGGTCCTTGATCCAAGGGATTGAGCCTGACCTCCCATTCCCCTAGGGAGCTGTGCCACCCCTGTGGTTTTAGCGCTCACTGCATGATACAGTATGAGTATCTTTAAAAATTACGGGATTTTTAGACTAAAATTAAAATATTGCGTCATATTACTTGGCCGCCATCCAGTATGAATGAATATTTCATTTGTACCTTTATTGAGTAAAAATATGTGCAGGTTATTGATGTAAAGCAAAAAAAAAAAAAGGATAAAATAACGTGAATTATGACTTGTAAAAGTCGCCGAAGTTGATGACTGGATAACTTACCGTCGTCGGTGAGTTTTTTTTAGGTTCGCAACAAAAGCGTTATTTTTTTTTTTTCATAGCAACTTTGATAGAGCAGTTGAGTAGGCCAGGTATAATGTATTGCAAGTAAGTTTATTGAGGTACAGGTACACATAAATAGTCACATAAATTACCATACATGGTAGAATGTGTAATTACCCAGGATAACCCAAAAAAGTCATGACTTGTTTCCATTGCTCCTTAAATGGATGTGACTTGGACCTGCCTAGCAAGGGCCAGTAGGCCTGCTGCAGTGCTCCTATTTTTATATTTTTATAATGGCATTTGAGAAAGTACTTGATCAAGGACCCTAATGGAAATAAGTAACTTTGACCATTTTGGGGGTTATCTTGGGTAATTTACACAAGTTACAAAGTATGGTAAATGTACTTGTGTGTACCTGTACCTAAATCTTGCATAGATTCATTGCATTTAGCCATATATATGACGTTTCAAAATTTGGCCTAAAGTATTCAAGCATTTTGGCTAATGCTTTATTAGCAAGTTTATTGAGGTACACAAGTACGTATTATCATTCATAGTATTTGAGGAGGTAGATCATGGTAATTAATGATATTGTGTATATTGACTTAAGTAAGGCTTTTGACAGTCCCACATCAGAGACTTGAGAAAAATTAAAGCAGCTAGAATAGGAGAAATTTTTACCTGGATAGAGGCATGGTTGACAAATAGGCAGCAGAGAGTTTGCATAAATGGGGAGAAATCAGAGTGGGGAAGCATCACGAGCGGTGTTCCACAGGGGTCAGTGTTGGACCCCCTGTTGTTCACAATCTACATAAATGACATTGATTAGGGCATAAAGAGCGACATAAGCAAGTTTGCCGATGACACCAAAATAGGTCATTGAATTCATTCTGACGAGGACATTAGAGCACTCCAGGAAGATTTGAATAGACTGATGCAATGGTCAGAGAAGTGGCAGATGCAGTTTAATATAGACAAATGCAAAGTTCTAAATGTTGGACAGGAAAATAACCATGCCATATAAACTAAATAATGTAGATCTTAATATTACGGATTGCGAAAAAGATTTAGGAGTTCTGATTAGCAGTAATCTGAAACAAAGACAACAGTGCATAAATGTTTGCAATAAAGCTAACAGAATCCTTGGCTTCATATCAAGAAGCTTAAATAATAGGAGTCCTCAGGTTGTTCAACTATATATATCCTTGGTTGGGCCTCATTTAGATTATGCTGCACAGTTTTGGTCACCGTATTACAGAATGGATAAAAATGCTCTGGAAAACATACAAAGGAGGATGACAAAGTTGATCCCATGTATCAGAAATCTTCCCTGTGAGGATAGACCGAGGGCCCTGAATCTGCACTCTAGAAAGGCGTAGAATTAGGGGGCATACGATTGAGGTGTATAAATGGAAGACAGGAATAAATAAAGGGGATGTAAATAGTGTGCTGAAAATATCTAGCCTAGACAGGATTCGTAGCAATGGTTTTAAGTTAGAAAAATTCAGATTCAGAAAGGATATAGGAAAGCACTGGTTTGGTAATCGAGTTGTGGGTGAGTGGAACAAGATCCCGAGTACAGTTATAGAGACTAAGACGTGTAGTTTTAAAAATAGGTTAGATGGGTACACGAGTGGGTGTGGGTGGGTGTGAGTTGGACCTGATTAGCTTGTGCTACTAGGTCAGGTGCCGTGTTCCTTATGTGACCTAACCTGACTAGGTTGGGGCATTGACTTAAGCTGGTTGGAGACTTGAACCTGCCTTGCATGGGCCAGTAGGCCTGCTGCAGTGTTCTTTCTTATGTTCTTATGTGTAAATTACCCAAGATAACCCAAAAAAGTTTTACTCTTTTTCCATTTTTTAAATGCTTATTGAACTTAATTTTTATTTATAATAGTGCAACAAATGTGTATTTATTGGCAAGCACTAAATCTGTATGGGTCAGAAATCTATGAACAGATGTAGAGAGGGCATTTATGCATTTACAGAATTTTTCATTTGGAGACTAATTTTTTGCTACCTTTAATTGGCTCAAAATTCCTCATAAACTTAAGATATTGACTTAATATCTTCTAAAACAAGTTATTTGTATGTTACACATGACCTTGTACATTTTAATTACTGATAATTGGTTAGGTTTTTTTTTTTTTCAGTACATAGTTTCTCGATTTTCATTTTCCACTTGTACACTTATTTCCATTGGGGTCCTTCTGTAATGTAGAAAAACTAGAGCTACAAAATTGAAATACCTTTCTGTTGATATACCTAAAGTACTGTACTGTATAACCTTGGGACTTTGGAAAAGTTCTTAAAAAAACGACTAGCTTTATTTACTTGAAGTATGCTGCCAAAATAAAAAGTACAACCAACCATCAATAGTGTACATACTATTACATTGCTTCTGTAAAGCACCAGGGTAGATCTGTTCTTCTCTGGTAGTGATGAGGAAGTAGATGAAATCCTTGTCTCTTGGGTGAGGCAGACCAGCAACTCTTGCGGTGTGTCTCAATTAGAAAAGGTACAGTCTGTTTAAACTGATTTCATATTGCTAAAAGAAGTAAACATCACTGATTGTTATAGTTTGGTTTCATTAACCCCTAAACTGTCCAAACATAGATCTACATTTTTTTCAACATTTGAAAGTATATAAAAAATGTAGACTTTTTTTTTTTTACATTTGAAAACTTGTAAAAAAAGACTTAGATCTACTTTTGGAGCACTACTCATGTGAACGTAGATCTGTTTGGACAGTTTAAGGGTTAATTGGAAGGTACTTTTTTTATTTTTTCTAGATCTCTGGCATTATTGAAAATATGAAGCAAAGGAGAAATTTTTTATTTACCAGTAAAGATAAAGAAGTAGGATTTACAAAAAAAAAAGTCTATACAGCACATTGTGACTGGGGAAAACCATGTTCAGAGATTGTTTCTGGAAACCTAAAAACTATCTATTTTGGGTAGGATTTAATGCTGTTTGGGGAATTGTAATAGTATTTGCCTCTTAGTGTTAACACTAAATGGCTTTGTAAAAAGTATGGGATTTGTTAGTAAAAAAATATATATACTTCATCAAATTGTAGGTTCATAGTAGGGGCTTTGAATTGCATCTACTGCTCAATTATTTAAAATTTCATTATTTAAGACTTTACGTCAGGCTGTTAAACTTTTAAGTTCAGTTTATTTAGATTTTCCTAATGTGACATTGTAGTCACATTTTTAATTAGTAACCTTATTCTTAGTTTCATAACTTTTTTTTAACTTCAATGTTACATTTTTCTGAAATATTTTAATTTCAGGTATTAAAATCTCTCAACTGACTTGTACATAAGCTTGTACTATATAAAAAAGTTGTTTGGTAGATATTGCTAGTTTTTCCAATTGAGATTGAGGCAGGCTTTGGCCTGTTCTCCAAATTTATGTATTTTATTATTGGCACCATGATTGTCAGTGGTGTATAATATTTATAGTATATATATGTGATTGCCGTGTTCATATTTTAATGGGCAATTGTTTTTCAGGCAGAGAAGATAAATTCCATCCTGAAGGCTGCTAATGTCAACGTTGAACCATACTGGCCTGGCATGTTCGCCAAGGCATCACAGGGTCTAGACCTCCGCTCAATTGCTAACAGTGTTGGTGTCGGTGGAGGCGGCGGTGCCCCCGTGGCTGCTGGTACTCGCAGTGCTCCTGCTGCTGTAGACACAGGTAAGCTGCACGTTTCCTGTGATGTTTATTTTAGTTGTTTTGTTTAATAAAAAATTTTAGAATTTTACTTGTGAAAGTGAAGTACACGCATGTGGCATTTATAGTACAGGCGGAGCCGCACTTGTACAGTAGGTTAGGTTCCGGGGTACTGCTCTAAAGTAAAATGTATCGTTTTTTCACTTTCAAATGCATATAAAAATCTGATAGGCATGTATTTCATTGTTTATATTTGATTACAATCAAATTGAGTTGTTTATGCAGACATGAATTGGGTCACACTCAATTATTTAATATGATGTTTTACCGTGTTTCACCTGACTCCTTGTGATTACATTTTTAATACTGATGAGTGGACTTCTATGTGAACCAAAAATTATTTAAATCTAGGCACTAATTTGTGCATTTTTCACCAGCCCCTGCTGCCGAGGCAAAGAAGGAAGAGGCACCACAGTCTGAAGAGTCTGATGATGACATGGGTTTCAGTAAGGAACTTACTTATGTACTTGAGAAGAAATTGGCATTATATTCATGTTCAGAAAATGTTATCTCTTTACTGATGATTGGCTGTACTTTCATTAACTATTACTTACGTTATTACCTTTTCTTTTTCAGGTCTCTTCGGCTAAATCTAATACCACATTTTGTAATTCCAAAATAAACCAGGAAGTGTTACTTTTCGTTTTCTTACTAGTCCCGTAAATCAGTATTTATTGGTAAACCAGTTGTTTATGGTATTAAAATTGTCTAAAAGACTCCATATGCTGAAATATGAAGTTTGTAATGGTAGACAGGCATGAGCAACTATTTGTTCAGTGTTGGTAAAGCTTTTAAATCTGGCTTGTATTATTTCTGTAAGATTACAGGAAATTAATCACCATTTACAATTTCAGCAGCTAATGCTTTTCTGCAATGTATAATTGACTAATGATTAAAGTAACTTGTAAGGGGGGAGGGGGCTCTTAATTTCTGTCTAGCTGCTATGTGATCCTTGTGGGTTTGGTGCTTTTCTGTGAATGACAATTGTATCAATAACTTTAAATACAGGTGGATGTCTTGAGTAATATGAACTATCCACTGTCTTAGAGCAAATTTGATTATCTTTCTTTCCCAAGGTTCTGTATAGCATTAATTGGTTTAGCTCTCCTGTATGAAGAACTTGATTAAAACAATTGAGCTACTCTATCAAAGCTGATCCTCTCATTTCCCAGGCACTGGTCTCAGACTCCCAAGGTGTATAACATACTGTCTAGAAATTAGACTTGTCTTTTACAAATTTGGTTGTTGTATATCTAGTTCAGCACTGTATGACCCTTGTGGGTTTAGTGCTTTGTTATAATTTTAATAATGTATGTATAGTTAATATAAAATTGTTTTCCTGGGTTCAGGGCAATGAACAGACAAACTGCAACTTTAGTCATCTATTCTGAACTGACAATTTTTTTCCACTGGTGTTTTACTTTTCACTGCTAGCAACAACATTGGTCCTAGTTAGAACATGACACATGCCAGTTCGTAATCTTGATAAATTGTCTCGTCTTAACAGAGGGCACGCAGGATACGTTTCTCTACAACACTAATGGGTTTCCTTGTCGAAGTCTCGCCTGTAATAGACAATTGATCTGCAGGAGTAGGTGCAAGTTCTTGATGCAAAGAATTGTGCAACCCTTTTTTATTATTATTAACACATCGGCTGTTTCCCACAACAGGTAGGGTGGCCCGAAAGAAAAGTTTTCACCAATCATTCAGGGAAACCGGCAGGCCGGACTTGAGTCCTGGAGATGGGAAGTACAGTGCCTGCACTCTGAAGGAGGGGTGTTAATGTTGCAGTTTAAACTGTAGTGTAAAGCACCCTTCTGGCAAGACAGTGATGGAGTGAATGATGGTGAAACTTTTTCTTTTTCGGGCCACCCTGCCTTGGTGGGAATCGGCCAGTGTGATAATAATAAAAAAAAAATCATTCACTCCATCAGTCTTGCCAGAGGTGCTCTTACACTATAGTTATAAAACTGCAACATTAACACCCCTCCTTCAAGAGTGCAGGCACTGTACCTCCCATCTCCAGGACTTGTGTCCAGCCTGCTGTTTCCCTGAATCCCTCCATAAATGTTACCTTGCTCACATTCCAACAGCACGTAAAGTCCTAAAAGCCATTTGCTCCTATCTAACATACTCGTACCTTTCCTAGACTGACCTCTACCCCGCCTTCCTTCCTCTACAGATTAATACACTGTCATTCTATTTTGTTCCAGCCTCTGTATGTCCAAACTACCTCAACTACCCCTCCTCAGCCCTCTGGATAATAGTTTTGGTAATCCCGAAACTCCTAATTTCCAGACTACGAATTCTCTGCATTATATTAGCTTCTTTTTTTATTATAATAATAAATCTGCATTATATTCACACCACACATTGCCCTCAGACATGACATCTCCACTGCCTCCTGTTGCAACACTGACTACCCATGCTTTGCACCCATATAATCTTTTTGATAATAATAATGCACCCATATAAGAGCGGTGGTGTAACTACTCGTACATTCCTCTCTGCTTCCATGCACAAAGTTTTGTCTCCAGACCACTCGCCTTTTTTCCCCTTGTCAATTCTATGATTAACCTCATCTTTCGTAGACCCATCTGTTGACACGTCCACTCCTAAATATCTGAATAAATTTGCCTCCATACTCTTTCCCTCCAATCTGATATCCAATCTTTCATTACCTAATTTTATCACCTTACTTTTTCCTATATTCACCGCGGTCAGCAGTGCATGACCTACCAATTTCCTATCGAGGTGTCCATTTCTGGACTATTTTGCTGCAATAGCTACCCACCTTCGCACCCGTTGGCAACAACGTTGGTCAACTCTGCTCGGTAACAAACTTCATTCTATTAAACCGAGCATAGGTTACTGGCCGTCTTCTTGTCATCAGTGCCGAGGTTGGGAGACCACTCTCTCCCGCCTTCGCATTGGCCACACTCGTCTTACTCATGGGTATCTCATGGAGAGGCACCCTGTTCCTCTCTGTGAGCAGTGTCAAGTTCCAGTATCGATTAGCCACATTCTGTTAGACTGCCCTCTCTATCAAGAGCACACGGGTTTTTACCTCCAACTTGTCTTCTTTCTATTCTCTTTTTCCCTTTCCCTTCTTGTGTGGCCCCTCCTTTAATCCTATCTCTTATTGACTTCTTGACAACGTGATTTACCCCACAAATTGATGATCTTTTCGCACCCCCCTCAGCCCTTTAGTTCAGTTTTTCTGCCCTTTACCTTTCACCATCCATACCCCGTGTTATCCGTAATTTTTTTCTATCCATCTCCCTTTTGCCCCCTGTGCCCTCGTTTCCTTCCCGCCCTGCCGGCGTTCCCCTTGTGGCTTAGCGCTTCTTTTTTGTTTATAATATAATTTTATATTCACTTCTTTTTTCTTGGATTAATAAACTTGATTCTTTTCCCCAAAGCTTTGTATGATCTTGCGAGTTTAATGTTCATGTGAAAAAACCATAAAGGAAAATTTGGGGTTTTGGAATTTCCCCAAAATGTAGCTAGGAAGCCCCTAAGGTAGGGTTCCCTTTATGCTGGCGAGGGGTTTGATTAGGGAATTGGATCTGTGCTCCGGTTCCCCCAAAAGAGCTGAATACCTTCTATCCCCCCCCCCCTCCCCTAGGCGTATAATTGTACGGTTTAGCACCCCCCCCCCCATGATTTTAAAACTTTATTTTGGGAATTTGATCTGTGTCGTGATTCCCCGGTTAAAATCTGAAAAACCTCCATCACCCTGCCCCTTTATGGTTGCTGTATAATCGCTAGGGGTTTTTCGCTCCCCCCTGAATAGCTAGGAAGGCCCTGGAGGCGTTTTTGGTCTAAGGGAGGGAGGGGTGGGAACCTGTGACCTGAAAAGAAATTTTTTTTCTCGGGGTTTTACAACTAAAATTTTAAAAATAACCCAAAATTTTTCGTATGTCGAGTCAAAAATTTTGGCTAAAATGTGGGTAACTTTAATGAGGGCTTGTAAAATTTTTTTTAACTTGATTGTGGCCTTCTAAAAATAAAAATGTTCCCCATCTTTTTGGTTGAAGGAATTGGGGCCCCGTCTTCACTTTAAAATCAGTGTGCCTCCCCTTTTCCCCGGTGTTTTTATAAAAACCCTATGTGTTTAGTGTCCTCAAGAATAATTTCTTTAATTTTAATCTTTCCAGGTACTGTGTTGACCTTGGGTTTGTGCTTTTCAATATTTTTATTATAATAGATGTGTTTCCCGAATGCAGTATTAATGAAGGTGGATCTAAATCCCTGGTCTTGATCCCAAAGGGTTTTAAGTGTCCTTCTTGGATCAAACTGATAATCTCCCAGTGCTGTAACTAATATGAGTAATGCTATGAAACTGACCAATCAACCTTGAATGGTACCTTAATGTTGGTGAGAGGCTCTTGATCCAAAGAATCAACACTCCTCCCTTAGCTCAAAGGCAATTAACCATTCGCATATCCACACTAGATCACAACTGCAATGAGTTATTAATGCAAATATTAGCTTCATTTACAGTGAGCAAAGCAGCGCTGTATAGCCCTTCCTCTTCAAGGGGGGCTCCTTTGGGCGGGTAAAAGAGGCTTTTGGTCGGGGAAATTGCCCTGTCGGTCTTTTTCCCTTTCAGAAAACCCTAATTCCCCCCCATTCCCCCCTCCCCTATCCTCCTCCCCACCCCTCCCTTTTCCATTCCCCCCCTCCTCCTCCCCCTCCCTTTTGCCCTTCCTTTTAGCCTTCGTGATTTCTCCCACAGGCGCGCTATTTCCTGGGTGGGGGAAAAGGAACCCCGGGGTCGACCCCATTCCTTTGAGGTTTTCTTGGCGGTGGGTAGTTTCCCCGGGGGAATCGGGATTGCCTGGGATGTCCCGACCCTCTCCGGTATCCCGGAGAAATTTGGGTGTCTTTTGGGCGAGGGTTATCCTGGAAGCCACCTTTGGGTTCGGGGGTGGGGCTGAAGGAGGTATGCTTTTGGGGCGGATACCGGCCGCCCCCCCTTTTGTCCCCGAGGTAGCTCGGCAGATGTGAGGTTGCTATCCGGATTGCTGGTTTACTGGCATGAAGGGAGGGTATGGCAGGGTTCCAGCTGCATCTGCGTACTAGGGGTGTCGGTCCTTTTGGGGCGGGGGGGGGAGATTTGGGCCCTTTCATTCCTCCTAAAATTTCCCCCTCCCCGTCCCCCTTTTTTATTTTTTTTTTTTTTTTTTATTTTTTTTCTTCTTTTTTTTTTTTTTAAAAAACAAAAAGCAAAGGGTAACCTAACCAGGGGGCACCCCTAGTCCTAAAACCACTCCCCCCGGGCCCCCCTTCTTGATCCGCCCCCCATTCTGCCTCCCTTGTTTTAGACCACTCTTCGGACCTTGATCCCCTGTACCTCTTGTGGTGTGTTTCCCCCCCTTCGGGTACCGGGGTTTCACGATCCTTCGTTTTGTTGAACCCCCTCTCCTTTGACTATGTTTCCCGGTTTCCCCCTCTAGGAGGGCAATTTTCGAATCGCCCACCCTTTCATCCGGGACCAACTCCGGGTCCTACTCCAAACCCCAACGTCAATCCCCTATGATCTCCGTCGTTCCCTTTCCCATTTACTCGGAAACGACCGCCGTCAAGCACTCCCTCCCCACGCTCAGTTTGGGACCACACAATGGACTAAA